TTCCCTATCTCTAGTGATTCATGTTTCCTCACCAGCCTTAAATGTCTGGCACACGTCACCAAACAGACCCCCAAACAGCGTACCAGAAATCCATCTGTCCCCTCTCTCTCAGCCCATCATATATGATTAGTGTGGTCTTGCCTTCCATGAGGTAGCGCCAGACCACCTTGCTTTGTGCCTCATCTGCATATAAATTTTTGGAGGATCCCTGGACTCATGACAAGAACACCCAGTTCCAGTCATGAGTGGGGGTTAATTAGCACATGGATCCTTTGGGGAGTGGGAAAGAGGTTCTGCAATATACACACATACTGAACAGTGCTGAGTTATGGGGTAACCTTGGCTTGAAATGCTGTCTACTCTGCTGGGGCCCAGCCCAATGAGCTATAGGGTAAATCATGAGTCTTTTGGCCTTGAACTAACATCATGCATAGTATACTATAGCTAAGTATGTACAAAAGTGCTGCTTAAAATGTGTTGATGGAGTACCTGTGCTAAAAAACTTGCAGCAGTTTCAAAAAACGGAAACTACTATCAATTATGGCTGAACTAAGTATATGGATACCTACAGTAAATTTGCCTACATGCAAATTTTTCTCCTCACATCCATGTGCTCAGGAAGAGCAGGGTTTGACAATAAGGATGGGCACAGAAGTTGAGAGGACAAGGATATTACCCGACGCCAAGGTTTTATTTTCCCTGTTATAGCAGCAGGTGGGGAACAAATTTAAGGCAAAACCTCCAATAACTAGATCCTATACCTGGAAAAATTACAACAAATTTATAAAAATTTTCCACATAAAAAAAAATCTAATTACTGGGGGGAGGTCTTGTACTAGTTGGTAGATATCCATCACTCAAATATCTATCAATACCAACCATTCTTTACAGAAGGCAAACATACCTGGCATCTGGAAAGGACTTCCTGGGTCTGAGCTGGCTGGAGAATGAGGATATGTGCTACTGCTGCTTCCAGGAGAATTAGGATAACTGCTATTGGGAGAGTGTGGGAACGGGTGACTGTTGGGTTGCTGGAAAGAGTCTGGGAAAGTTGCATTGTGGGGCATGTGAGGCTCATTTTGTCCCAAGTTGCGGAATTGAGCCAAGAGGCTGTGCTGAGGGTTGTATTCACTGTGTCTTGGAACCAGTACTGGAGGAAGAACTGTAAGGAAAGCAGAAATGAAACACATTAAAAACCTAATTCTAAAGGATGACAGTCAGGACCCTCCTTTTTATTTCTCCTTCTGTATCCCCCATGTCATATTCATGTGCCTCAGAAATGAGGTCACCACATTCTAGGAACATGTGCATAAGCAATAACCCTTTCCTTACATCCTGCTAGTGCATAACTTAAATTCATAATGGTCATACTAGCTGTCCAGATTCCCAGCTGTAAACTCATTTTCACAAAGGGCCAGGAGAGAGGTGGGGAAGGGAGATAAGCTGCAACCCCACATTTTCATTTATTCAAACATGAGGACAGTAGTGCAAGGTAAGTGTAATTCACAGTTTAATGCTGACATGCAGTTTTCTTTTTGCACACTTGGTCCCCTTGCTAATCATGTAATGGTCTGTAACCCAAAACCCTGCTAATGAGGACAGATTTTTCTGAAGACAATGTTAATACTACATGGGCCTCAAACTGAGCCTGGTCCCAACAGCTGTAACTTTATTTTTAGTCTAGGCAACATGCTTAAGGAGTTAATATATAAAAAAAGGGGGGAAAAGGGGAGGAGGAAGGGTTAACCCTTTATGTCAGTTTACCAAATGCCTAGTTTAAATAGAATTAGACAGTACAATGGAAACTGAACAATCTGTCTGGCAAACAAGTTCTAGCATATGCTACTATGGGACAAGGGAAATACACATCAGCACTGTTAAGTTTCATCATGCTCCCAAGGCCCATATACTCCAGGGAACCAAAGAACTTTTTAATTGAAGATACAAACACGATACCAGATGTGCTGATATAAGCATCTCAGTCAGCTTTTTCAGGTCCTCAGCATCTGCTTCTAAACTCCTCACATAGGAAAGGATGAACCCTCAAAAAGATTACAACAATTAGGTAAGGACTCCTTTTAGAGCTAGTCAGTTTCTTAAGAACTGGCCCAGAAAAGGAAAGGGAGTGGGGGGAGGAGTGGGGGGGGGGGGGGGGGAAGGGGGGGGAGGTACCCAAGAAACTGCAGGTCTCACCTCAAGAGTGCAATTCACTACTCCACAACTCTGGCTGGTTCTTTGAGCAGGGAACCAAGGATAGATCTAATATAGGCATTTACTGGCCCCACTATGTCAATTACGGGATGAAGAGATATGATCTTCAAAAGGACGGAGCTGTGCACACTGGTATTACCTACTTCACTTGCAAGAGGTGTTTTACTGAATTAGTACCAAAATACAGTTTTAACATCATGGGAGCACTTTACCTGCTGTGTGTATGGATATTCCCACACCATTATAAAGTGCTCCTAGTGTACACATAGCAAAGAGTTCTAGACCCTAATTTTAAGTGTGGCACTTTATTGAAGAACATTCTCACACCTCTGTTTGAAACACCCTCTCTTGGCTGAAAGAAGCTTGCAAATGTACTTCAAAATGCAGAAGAGCTCAGAAGAAGGTAGGAGGGTTTCTTGCCTTGGGTGAATCCATGGTCATTTTTCAAAAAGAGGCTAACCCAATCTTGTAATCCTTGTACTTAGGGAGCTTAGCTAAGGTAGGGTTTGCAGGTTCAGACCATTAGACTCTCACATACACTAATATTAGAGTCCAACTGCAAATAAGCGCCAGTTTCACAGACCAACCCAAGACCTGTGCTGAGAAGAGTTAGCTGAAGTTGATCTCATTCAGTTTTTGGTACAGTACTTGACCTGTGGTAACATTTTTAGGTGGACTGGTTTAAGTATTAAAGCTTTCTCTGTGTTATAAATGCCACTCCAAATAAGAGCATGTACGTTTTTTTAAGGCAAGGCATCTCCAAATACCATATGCTGGAAGATTTCAATCGTTGGACTCATGCATCATAGAGCATATCAGTGTGAAATGTGTGCTTGCACGACTACAAACGTTATTCTTTGTTTCTAAGGAAATATTTTAAAAAATACAAATTCAGATCAACTGTTGGGGGTGGGGGGCAGAGAAACTACTCACACTATTTTCAATACAGCATCCATCAGATTCAAATCTCTCTTTAACTATGGTTGTGCAGAAAGCCTTCTAGCACTTCTTGCTCATTAAGTTCAAACAATGCATTTATCACAACAAACATTTGCTAGCCTAATAAATCAGCAATAAAAACAGAAACAATGAGATCTTACATTTAAAGATATTTTCTCCTTTCCTGTCTTTATAATCCTTCCTTACCGTTCTGGGCACTATAGAACTACTTCCCTATCTCTCCATTTCCTGTGGATGAAGGCCAAACTATTAACTTTTCTAAATTTAATTTCTGAAAGAAAGTACATCACTTACCTTTCCCACCCTTACCTCACATTAAACAATGACATACATGACACTACAGGAAGCCAAGCAATTTATAGCATTTTTTAAAATAGCTAGAGGAACAGGATATTTTTCAATATGGTTTTAGCAATTGGGAGAGAGCGCGCTAGAGAGCACATGCACCAGATTTTCCCCTCACTCATGCGCACGCACACACATACACACCTCTCCAACTGGAAATGGGCCCTTGGTTAACAAAATATAGTAGTAATAAGAACTTGGCATAGTATGGATAGATATACATCTGTATTTCCTCTCTTACTGCAACTCACATACATGCCAAAGCTTTGATCCCAGGAAAAGAATAAATGCCAGCTTCTTCAAAATAAGGCTGAAAAGTCTGCTTTTACAGAAATGTACTGTTGCAGGTCAAGGTCTCAAAAGAGACCACACATTTTCACTGCAGAGTTACTGGAGCACTGCCCTAATGCAAGACCTGTCTGCAAAAAACAAACCTTGATATCAGCTGTACGCTGTTAGCATAATTCAGCAACTGCTAACAGTCACTCTGATCTGAGCACTTTGTGCAGTTCAAGTGCTATTTTGCAGGGCAGCAGCCTTCATTTGAGCAAGAAAGGACTTAAACTCCATTGTTGATCACCCAACAGTGAAGACATGGCCTGAGGTTACTCAGAAGGAAGAGGAATGCCAAGAGTTCAAAACACTAAGGGGAGTGCATACCATTCTTACTCCACCCTCAAGTTTAAGCCTGCAAGCTTCTGGTCAGGTAGTAGACCTCAACCATATGGAATAACAAATTACTAAGGCTTAGTACAGCAGGGGAGGAGGTTGATCTCTGAAGCAGCTGCCAGTTCCAGGAAGAGGTATAATTGAAAGAGGGAAAGCATGAGAGAGTTATTCTGTGCTAAGCCAGCACACCTGTTGCTATAAAATAATCAAGTAGCACATCTTGTTTGTGGAGAACCCTGCACAACACTGCTGTCGGCAGCAGTGTGCAGGAGAAGCGGCCGTCTTTTCCCTTCCTAGAAGAAAGAGAACAGATCTAATGAAAAGTAAAAATCTGATTTTTTGTTTAAAAAAATCTTTAACTTGCTTCTTTTTAATAGAGATATGCAACTCTTTAAGGAGAAAAAGGTATTACTTTCTGGAACAATAACTGTGTAACAAGGGCTTCCTCTAAAACTCAAAAGATGTATATGCAAGTAGTCTGCTTGTTTTGTTAATTAAAATAAACAGCAAAACAATGGCACACAGCTGAGATGGAAACATTCTCAAGAATCAGATTAATTTTCAATTCCAAGGTATATATTGCTCTCAGTAGTATTGCACAGATCTAACTGAGGACATAATCTGGCCTGTCAAACTTTATTTTACTACTAGGGATAACCCATGAGAAGAACAACAAAACAGAACACCCCCAACAACTTAACTTTCCTAGCTAGGAAAAAAGGCTTTTTGCTTGCAAATGGAATAAATTTTCCCCTGTTACTCCCTGGACTTTGTTGTTGAGTTGTTTTTTGCAGACACTATCCAGAATATGACTACCTTCAATAAGCGTGTTCTCTGTGCTCTGCATCATACATAGGTAGGGCCATTTTGTCAAAGAGCCTACAATTTCACAACAAAAACAGACCCAAGAGGTCAAGGATGGCTAGATGTAGCTATTGAGCCCTACTCTTTATCCTATTTCTCTTCAAACCTCTCTACTGCCTCATCCTATTCTCTAATAAATAGCAGCAAAAATGTATCAGCAGCATTGAATGCTTGCCAGCATCTAAAAACAGTGAATTAAGTATAAAAGCTTTCTTTAGTCTGTTTCACTTTTTGTATAGGTCTATTTTCTAGAAATAATGAAACTGGCAAATGGGTGTAGCAAGCACAGATCTGAATGTCCTCTTTTAAAGCTGCATACCCTTTTAAGACAGGACAACTAACCCACACAGAGTGATCAGTTGCATTTTCAAATGGGTGTATTTTTAACCCACTTGTTTTTTTTTTTCTTTTGTCTTGTATGAGCCTCAATAAAAAGTATGTTTCTCTTGGAAAAGCAAAATTCTGGGTGTGCTTTCACCTGATAATAGGCTAAACTTCTTTAGTTTGTTCAAAATTTTCCAAGACAAGAAAGGATGGACTGGGGGAGGGCAGACATCGATCATCTATCGTTTCCAGGATTTTAAACAACTTCTTGAAATCTAGGTACATGAGGATGAGGAGGAAGACAAGTTGGAATGAATAAAAATGTAGTAGTATCCATTACTTAAGACTATAAGTACAATGACGTGTTAGACTCAAGTACACCCATGTGATGTGTACCACTCCCACCATACCACAGTTCCTCAGCCCCTAATGAGAGCCAAAAGGTACTAGCATTAATGTCATCATATTCATTTTAAAATTTTGAGGGAGTAGCTGAGCAGCAGCATCATGACCATTTACCTACAGTCACTTTGCTTGATTTCAAAGATTCAAGTTGGGGGTGGGGCCAAGAGGACGAGGAGAAGAACAACCACCTTCTGTTGAAGCTTTTAAAAAAACGAATAACCACAGCTATAGAAAAAGAATGGCTAGGAGTGACATGAGGACCTGGATATCAATAGCTGTAAACCTCTGAAATGATTCAGTTTTTACTACCTTAAAAATTTCATCATCTCCCATTTGCTTCCACAGGAGTTTAAGTCAGCTATGATGCACTAATGAGCAGCACCT